AAGGCTCCCATCAGTTTTGCACTTTTCAAAGTGCTTTTGCTAACATTCTCCTACGTGGCCTTCACATCAGCTGAATGACCACTCTAATCAGCCTACATCTGTAGTTTTTCCAGCTCTGTTTTCTGTTTTTGACAGCAGCACTGGGGGAAATATATGAACTACCCTTGACAATTCTTAAACCTATGTTCAGACTGTATCTCTAGCTGAAATAACCATGAATCTTTTAAGTAAAGGGTGGTCATCACCGATTCAACATTTATTTACTGAGCAACTATTGTTACCCTTGTAATAATAGTAAGTTACTTCTCTGAACAGGTATCTGGTTCCATAGTGTATTTCTTGAGATTTTCTACTTGCAATAATTCAAACATAATAAAAGCTAGTTTTGTTTCTGGTGATGATCAGCATTTTGTGGGACTTTTTTGGCTGCACACTTTGCCTTCAGGGAAAAATACAGACTCTAGATTTCTTCCATGGGTGAAATCAAACAGTTCACATATACAAGGGAATACTTTATTAATTTAAGCCAAACTGCAGTTACCAGGGGGGAAAGGAGGAATGGAGGGAAAAATTGGGAGTTCAAGATTTGCAGATACTAACTACCATATACAAAACAGATAAACAAGTTTCTACTGTATGGCACAGGTAACTGTATTCAATATCTTGTGGTAACCTATAATGAAAAAGACTATGAAAAGGAATATATGTATGTATATATATATGACTGAAACATTATGCTGCGCACCAGAAACCAACACAGCATTCTAAACTGACTATACTTCAATTAAAAATAAAATATGTGTAATTACAATCACTGTAGTAAGAATTGATTAATATAAAGGGTAAAGATGAAAAACCTCTCAAAAGGACCATTTATAAGTTAAGTCCTACTTAAAATACATGCTCAAGAAGCTTTGCCTTTAATATTAAAAACAAACAAGTTCCTTCTCACAAGGAAGAGAAAGAGAATGGTTTCTTTTCAAAAAAGAGAATGGTTAAATGCTAATGCAATAGTGTTTCTGGGTTTCACTAGGGGTCAGGTCCAGGTAGAGTAACCAACTGCTTAAACACAAGTGCCACGGCAACAGAGGTGTCCCTCATTAAGCTACATCCCAGAATCCAATGAATATTTGGACTTGACTTTAAAATAATTACTAGTACTTTCACTCAAAGATAGCCTTTTAAAAAAGTTACGCAGTAGGAAGAGTAACTGGCACTTTCTCCCTTGAAGGAACTTCTATCAAGTTGGAAAGCCACACCAGAGTCACAGAATACAGGGTCCTTACAGCTGTGTGACCTCAGAAAACTCACTTAAGAGGTCTCTAAAATTTAGTACCTCATCTATAAATCAGTGTGAACATCCACCTCCCAGATTTGGGGGTAGGGGGTAGGAGAGAAGAGGGGCAGAGGAAGTAAACTAAGATTTGTATGAAAATGCTAGGAGAATGGCTCACACACATGCATACATTGCTAGTTCTGACTCTTCATCCACAAGCAGTGGGAAGAGAAGCCAAGTAGCAAGGTTTGGTTAAACCGCAACTTGTGTTTAGGGTACATAGGCCTTGGTTCCTAAGTCTGCATTGTTTCTGGAAATGTAAAACCTTTTTATAGTCTCAGATTTGTTTTATTAAATATGGGACTCCAGAGATCACCATAATTCATGAAAGACATTAGGGCCAAGCATCCTCCTGCTGAGCAACTTCAAACTCATAACGAAGAAAACCACAGTCCCTACTTACGTATTTCTTCCCTCCACCAGCATAAACTGAATGCGGCCGTAATATGTGATGGTAAAACGTCTCTTAGAAATCTTTAGAGGTATTCTAGAAGATTAATCCTATTTATGTAATCAGTATAAATATCTGTTATTAGCTTCTTCCAAAGCTGAAAAGGACTTCGATGAAAATCCCAACTGTATACAAACTTTTTAATTTCAAGCTTGTGTAATTTGATATTAGATGGAGTTTTACGAACTATTAAGTTTGTAGAAAAGGAAATTTAATCTATTCTAAGTATGGAGGGATGGAAGTCTAGGGCCTCTGAGTACATTCAGCCACATGCCAGTGGCAAAGGCAGGTTAAAAAAAGGGTTAAAAAAAGCCTGGTGCAACCTTCAGTGCAAATTAGGAATGTCAAGAAATGAGCAAAACTGTCACCTTCGTTTCACTACAAACAGAACCATGTAGATACTCAACTAATGCATAGGAATAATTGGGAGAAACTCATAAAATGAAAACAAAATTCAGGAATCTTATTCTTTACAAAATGGCAGTATTTGAAAAGAAGTCTTATTTAACTTAGAGTAATTAAAATATAGTCCACTTCAGTTTATACTGTACAGCAGAGGGAACTACATTCAATATCTTGTAGTAACCTATAATGTAAAAGAGTATTTAAACGAATGTATGTATGACTGAACTATTATGCTGTACACCAGAAACTCACACAACAGTGTAAACTGACTATACTTCCAAAAAAAAAATCCACTTCAGTGAGGTCATATTTTCTTAGGTCCATTTTAGTTTAGTATTTATTAGTAATTTGTTTAAATTAGTAAATTTAAGACATATTCTGGATTTTTTTCTTTTTTTGCTTTGGATCCTAATCTATCTCTGTCCTTATGTAGGCACTAAGTCAATAATTAGAGTTCTGATAAAATATTTTCTAATCCAGTTAAGAGAAACCCACCAAAAAATGTCATGGTGCTGTTATCACTTCACAAACATGATCTTACTCAGTTCTCCCCATAACCCTAGGAAGTAGGCATTATTATTTCTGTAAAATCCGTTTTAAGGATGAAGAAACTGAGGCTCATAGATGTCAAGAAACTTAATTAGGATCACAGGACTAGTATGTGATAGGGTCATGACTAAACCCAGGTTAATCTGCAAATAGGTACTTTCAATCACATTAAAAACAGGTAAAACTAATTTTTCAACTAGCTCCGTGTAACTTTCAATAACGTCAAGAATCATATACTGTAGGTTGGCAGCAGTCCATGAAAAATAATTAGTAATTTGGTTCTATCTAAACATTCCCATTAAAAGCAGACCCTGTCAAGTAGCTTTTGACTTCTTTGTTTCCTTTCCTGTTTTAAAATGTACATAAAAAAAACTCTTGAGACATCAATATCGAAGTTTTAAAATGTAACCATCATCTTATAAGCCAAACTTCAAAATTTCACATCTACAGAGTATGAAGGAAATCTCTCCTCTAAATGACTTTGGAGCTAAGCCGGCAAAAATGTGAACCTGTGAATTGTTCTCCCTCACTGTCCTCTACGACCACCCCTAGAATCAGCAAAGAAACAAAATACATAACTTCCACAGAGCAGAGATACAGAACAATGAGGAGATGAGACATTAAACTATTTCTCCCTGTTAACATCCATTTGGCTGATGGGACTAAACTAGAAAGGTGTTCTACTGCCTTTTACAAATTTCATAATTATAAGTGGCAGTTAAAAAAGGCAGCTGCAACACAAGCCCATTGCACCCGTAAAAGCTGAATCAAATAAGAACATTTATCACGACTACCAGGTCTCATTTCTAGCTTCTCTGTCAATTACACAAAGAGCCCGCTATTAAATATTAATGGCATGCCATTTGCACCGGAGGTCCCGAGTAGAGCCTCCTGCTACCAATTTTTGTCATGAAAGAAAAACCGTCCTTATTTTCCAGGTAAACCCCAAACCACTAGAATCTCTCAGATGGGCTATCGCACTCCGTCCTTCCCAGGGGAGGCTGTCAGGGCCACCCCCGCACACCCAAGGGAGGAAGAGGGCTCCGGGGAGGGCGGGTCCCTGCAGGTCCCGGGGCAGGGGTCCCGGTTCTCCTTCTTCCCCTAGCTGTCAGCTACAGGTCAGGCGGCGGGGCGGGGCCAGGCCCGGCTGTCCTCACAAAGCGAGCCAGAACGCGGGCGGGCGGACCGGGACCCAGGCTGGGGTAGGGGCCGCGCAGGGCGGAGCGAGGCGGGGGCCACTTACCCAGCAGCAGCACGTTCTTCCCCGCGGGGAGTTTGGAGCGCGAACGAGTGGAGACCTCGCTGAGGATGCAGGACCTGGCGGGGAGCAAGGCGCAGCTGAGGCCGGGGCCGCAGCGCGGGAGGAACGGATGGCCCCGGCATCGGCGCACCCGGG